AAAGCAACATGTCAATTTCATCAGATTCAAGGAGTTTTCCAGGAGTTTTAGTGATTTTTCCCATTTTCAAGGGCTTTTCAAGCGCCCTTGAAAATGGGTTTTCAATTCCAGGACTTTTCAAGGATTTTTAAATCCTTTTTTAAAAAGTCCTGAGTAGCACGAACACTGTTTCTTTGATGGACCTTTCCTAATGGAAGACCCCAGACCAAACCGACACCAGTGAGCAGATGTACATGCAATGTTGATGGGATTTTAAACTCACCTACAAAAGCCAAAGACATACCAAAATTTGTCACAGTCCCAAGCATCAACAACAAATATTGACAGTGTTATTGCGGCACATGCATGTGCTACAATGGCTAAATATGGTTAAGAATTACACTCTTATGTGAGTATATGTACAGTAACATTGTGATGTGTACTGTTTATTTTTTTCAAATTCATTTAAAGTACAAACACCAAAACTGTGCAACATAAATACCACTAAATACTGCTAAATTATGCTAATTCTATTGTTTTCTATTGTTTAATTAACACTATTTTGTAGTAAATAGTGGAAAGTGTTGCACACATTTAATGTTTGTACTCTAATTACTTAATATGAATAAGGATACAAAGCATTGAGACTGTACTGTTGAACATTGAGACTCCACCAATAAAACCACCAAACTCAAACAACAAGAACGCTAGTGTCAATGACAATCCAACTATAAGCCTGAAAAATAAATAAATAAATAAATTAAATTAAATTACATGACGAATAAGTGAAAAACAGTTTATWAAAAACATGAATGGAATCAAAGAGGAAAGAAGGGAAAAAAAGTGAAACAGAAATAGGAAAAGACAGAGTTGATTGCAGAAGGAAGAACAAAAGTAAGGCTGGATAATGATAGGAAAGAAAGAAGGAGGAAATGGGAAGAAAAGAAGGAATGTTGGAAGGAAAGAAGGAAGGAAGAGGTGAGAACAAAGGATAAAAGGAAGGGATTTGATGGGAGGAAGTAAAACAAAAGTGAAAGAATTTAAAAGACACAGTGAGCTTTAGAAAGAATAAAACTACGTTAGTTTAAGAGAGACATTTGTGAACTAAGTTTATAAAATGTAGTCCAAAGTTTGCTGTTGACATCTTTACGATYGAAACAGAACAAACTCAAACAAACAAACAAATTGACTTTATACGTTTTACATGCACCCATGAAAGCTAACCAAAGATTTTTTTTATGGCTATGGAACTTACTCAGTATGTTTTGAGTCGTATTCGGTTTGTGAGTACTGCGACGGYAAACACGCCAAAACGTTAGAATCCTACAAGAAACGAAGAACAACAACTTTGAAGTTAAAAAGAAAAGAAATCGGGTGAAATAGCCCTCTACAATACAAAGAACGCTGGCCAAGATTGTAATAGACTTCAGAACTCAAGATTTATTCTAATTTYAGTCACTATGAGCTGAATTTTTCAGCTGAGCACGGATGAACACGCGATTTGTTTTGTTTGTCAAACTCACCTTTGCCCAAAATATTGTGACTGTGATAACCAAATGTGCCACTAAACTAAGAAATCKCACAGCTACTAAACTTCCTGGGATCATATTTGAAGGAAAATGYAGCAATATTCGTAAATATTCTACGAAAAATCGATATTTTTCGAAAGACAGTCTTTCGATGGTCAGTCCGCCATTTTGTAACAGCTGTGTAACCAGGCTGGTTACTACGGAACCACAGGAAGCCCAAACGTTATGAACAGGAGACGCGAAGTATTCGTAAACCTTTCTTAGTTGATAGGGATTGTTTATTGAAGAAAATGCGGTATTTGTTAGCAGGAACCAATACAAAGGACAAAGTGGGGTCCCTTAATATGTAAGAGTCGGTCTATAAAATGTATTAAGGATTTTTTTTAATCTGACTGCACCAGACAACAGAGCAAGATCTCAGCATTAAGGCTTTTAGTCAGGCTTCTGAATGTTGATAAATGTAGTCATAATTGGTTATTTAGATTAATCTCACTTTACGACCACAGTCAAAATTGACCCATTTTTCGGTCTATAAAATGTATTAAGGATTTTTTTTAATCTGACTGCACCAGACAACAGAGACAAGCTCAGACTGGAGCGTTCAGTGGAACGAAACATAATCCGGAGAATTCCTAAACTCCACATCTCCTCCAAGAAGAAGGAAAATTACTATGTAACAAGTTCAAAATTTTTGAATACAATTTAACCAGAGTTTAGCTAGCTCAAGGGAGTAAAAAATGTTCTGATTTTTAAGTTTTTAGCTTATTTTCCATATTTCATTATTGCCATAAATCTTTAACAACTGAACGCAGATTAAAATCATGGAAGCAGTCCTTTTTAATCAAATTTAAAGTAAAATCTATTTGATTATGAATTTAAAGGACGCGGACGTTGAATTTCGAACATCTTTATGTATTTTTAGACCATTTGCCWAGGGTCATCTAAAATGTTTATGACGCGATTCCTTTTTAGAAATTCTAGTCAAGAAAAGCCGGRTTTGACCACAATTTATTCCAGAACCCACTAATATACTTAAGGTGTGAGGTCTTAATTTGAGAAAAAGCTGAATTCCCCAAAACAAAATAGATTTTTGAATAATTTTTGGATATATGTKTCTAGCGTTTTGCGTTGGAATTCGCTTTTCWCTCTGACAGACGTTGTCATTATGAAATGGCAGGATCGCTTCGCTTGTTAGTTTTTCTATTRTTKCGAGTAATGTAGAAGTTGTCAGATAAACGATCAAAATGATGTTTTTCTTAGCGAAAAACCACAGTTTTTCAATTCTGACAAATTCACACTTGTAGGCCAATGCAACAAGCTTCTGAAAGCATTATCAGATTTTATTTTTAGAAGGTGAAGAATAGAAGGTGAAGAAATCGCAACGAATTATGAACACAGAGCACAGATCAACACTTAAGAGATAATTGAAACTCGACTCCACTTATGACAAAAAAGTCTCTATTTTTCTTCACTGAATTTGTGTTTAAAATTATCAATCAAAATTAAGTGTGTTTGAGGCGAATGTTATTACAATTTCAAGAGTGAAARATGGTGCTTTTYACGAACAAAGATGKTTCTCCAAGTCTAACCGATGACCAAGATTTCTACACCGCGGCAATTTACACTMTTTTCGTTCTGTCATTGTTAATAGCTTTACAAAATATCCTTGTGATTGTAAGCGTTTCATGYTTTATGCCTAAAAACTACTCGTTCTCAGCGTTTATTTGCTCRGCTTCARTCACCGAAGTTCTACGACTGTTTGGACCAGTGTCACTTTCTCTGCATATTTATATAACGAAGCATCGTGGCGCAAGTGGATTTGAACAAGATGCGGCCGTCCTTTGTAAAGCGCAAAGTTGGCTAATAACCTTCTTACGAATGTCTTCATCGMTGTCAATCCTTTTGCTATCAATAGACAGAACTATTTCACTTGGAACTCAGAATTTTTACCAGAAAAAATGGAGAGGTTGGTATCTTGTGGTGGTCGTCTCCGCGTGTTGGATACTATCTGCATTTTTTGCCTCTTGGCCAATGTTGTTCGGGMTGAGCGAGTCAAAACCACTTCACTTCTCCACACGAATTTATTGTTTATTCACAACAAACAGTCTCTACAGCTTGATATTTGCTTCCATTCAGTTCCTTTGCATTTYAACAAGTGCTGGATGCATGTTTTATGCAACGAATTCTTCTAAACAATCTCTATTCCGAGCATCATATTCAAGTTCCACAGGAAAAATAGCGGTGCAGAAGACGAGGCATCTTGTCCACGAACAGTATCATCAAAAAGTGTCAAAAATGGCTGCATTAGTAGTTGGGGTTTATAGTATTAGTTTGCTGCCATGGCTGGTAAGAAATTTGGTTATTTTATTTAAAAAATATATATGATATTGATAATTTATGCGCCATGTTCATCTCTTGAAGCGCGTGTCCTTAATTTCGAATGCATATTTGCCTGGCCAAATTTCCCCACTGTCCAGGAGGTCAGCTTATTTTATTTTTAATACAAATACTGACAAGCTACTCATAATTATTTTAAGGTRAACGTTTACTTATTAAAGTAAAGTGTTGCGGTTCCAGCATAATTTCATTCATTAAAATTTATTACAAAATACAATGATCTTATATGAAGCACACGGAGGGTCGTATTGTAAAAGTCTTTTATTAAAAAAAGACTCGAGCACTAGTGTTTGAATTTCATTAAACGAGTAGCAGATTTCTAAAACTTTACTCGATAGAGTTAGTTATATATTTAGATAATAATACGACCTAAAGAATCGTGAAGATAGTCGGCGTAAAGACGTAAAKCCGCGCAATGTAAAGCTAGTGTAAACGTTGCATTCATGCAATTTGTTCTTTAAATTGAAACTATGTTCTAGTTTAGTGCAATGTTTATCATTTATTCTAGATCGCCTTGTTCCTGGACTACTTCTCAATCCCTTATCCACAAATCTACGGCCTTCTCTCACTTCAACTCCCTATGATCAGCGGTCTTTGTAGTCCTATTATATATGGCGTGATATGGCCGCCGTTTAGAAGGGCTTACGAGAGGGCATTAGCAGCTCCATTGCGCATGTGCAGGAAACAATCTAGCCACAGATCATGTAATTTAGAAGGTAATTAAACAGCAAATCAAATATCACACTGCTATTTGTTAAAGATGAGAATGATGAGGATTTATTAGAGTATTATTTGAAATGAGAAATTATGAAGCCAGGGGAGTGTGAAGGGGTCTCAAGAGGGTCTTTCGAGTCGAGACTGAAGTTTTATCTTTTGTCCAAAACTTCAACCTCAAAGTGAAGCCACATGTTTCCTGTTCATCCAAGGAGAGTTTATTGCAGTTTCAAAACCATGGAAATTAAAGCGATTGAATGCAAAATTGYACGAGTATTGCCTTGGATTCACACCAAGCAAACTCTTCGAGCATCCAAAAATGGTGTTTTCTTGATTATTAATTTGGCAAATTAAGTCTCATACTTCAACGACTTTGTCTGCCAAGGAATCGCGACCACAAGGAGCAAATGTTTTTTTTATTGTTACTAACTTTGGGTTGCCTCTGTATTTATTTATTTATTTATTTTAGATTCGCATCGCAGCTACAACTTCTGGACAATCGATAGGATGAACGCTGACCAGCATGTCTCGACRATGAACAGATTATTTGATTCCAGTACTCACTCAAACGAACCAATCGACTTAATGCCTCAAGAACTGCGCATGTTTGAAAATKAYGGTTTGACCGCTGACTCCATAAGTATCGATGTGAGTCTGCATAATCTCAACGACATGTCCTCATTCAAAGGTACTACCGAGTCTGTWGCTACGACAACAACGGTTTTAGATGTAAGTGCACAGTTTCAAAGTATTCTGGATCTCATTGAAGAGATGACAGAYGGTAAAACAAAAGCRAGCTTTTCTACAAGTCAGACATCTTTGAAGCGATCTCGAAGTAAATCTTCAGGTTCTAATGCCAGCAGTATTGAGAGGTCAGCGGTAAAATACAAAGGACATGCATCAATTAGCAAGAGAAATGATTTTTCTGTCAATAGTGTTAGTGATAGATCAGCGGTTAGATTTAAAGCGCATGCACAAAGTGAGAATAGCGACAGCAGTAGTGATAGGTCAGTGGTTAAATTTAAAGAGCATGCACCAAATGGAAGCAAAATCAGGGAGTCTAGTGTCGACAATATTGATAAGTCAGTTATCAAACGCAAGAGACATGCGCTAAATGGACGTATGACYCGAAATGATAGTTTTAACAGTATTGATAGGTCAGCAGTAAAAYACAAGGGACATGCGCAAAATGGAGGTATACTCAAACGTTATAGTTTGAACAGCATTGATGAGTTAGAAGTCAATTCACACGCGCCAAATAGAAGCATTGGTTCTTGTTCTGACAGTATCGACCGGTCAGTGGTGAAACATAAAGCAAATGCACCAAACATGAAGATGAATGATTCCAGCGACAGCATTATTRAAAGGTCAGCGGCTAAAACTGTTGCACATGCACCTACTCCTGGACTAGCCAATGGGGATAACGTCTCAATTACCATGACCGAAGATGAAGATAATGCGAATTCGTGCATCGATTCCCGTGTTTCTAACTGTACCTGTATGGGTAAATCCAAATGCTACAAAGTTGATAAACGATATCTAGACTACTTATTTAATGAAGAAATCCATATTGCTCAGGGAAGTGACGGTGTGATCTATATTGATGTATAGTTCATACATGCTAAAGATGTCGAAAGACKACAATAGTCTGCAAGTAGAATCGATGATAGAAAATCGAATGGTAAACAGRCAGATTTGGTGCATGACAAGATTGAAATATATGTTGGCGCTTGACTTTAGAGGGCTGTATATAGMATTTAAACTATTMAAGGACGTAGCGTGGTCATTTTGGCAAATGTATGACCTCSAAATCTCGGCAAAAATAAAAGTGTTTTCATTGACTTGTATGTTTTMCGGCAATGAGAAAAAGCCAGTTCAATTATAATTATYATCCCTGAATAGAGCTGTTTATGTTTAAAGTTGTAATTAAATAAAGATGCCCAAAATATCAGAAAAAGGATTATTGTGCTCATGTAAAGATACTCACAAAATAAATTGTTGAGGATTCACTAATTATTCATTAATTCGACAATTTCAAATCCATAATGTGCCAGCTGTGTTTGCACAGCGGTCTCTTCACGAGAAGTAACAGATGCGCAAAGASACATTAATTCATAAATTTTCATWAAATTTATTCTCAGAGCGAATTTTATTGACACTTAACATTTTTTCAAGAAAAAACGTAGATTTTGATGATGTTTCTCTTGCTAAAAAACGTGTATTATAGAATGAGAAGATTGATATCATGGGTATTAGTTTTCTGCTTTGTTGGAGTACTTGTATCAAGTTCAATAGYAGGTAAAGCTTTAAACAGTTATGGAGCCTTCACACTTGTAACACTTTATAAACTGCCCGGGATAAACTAATATTCCTTTAAACGGTTCCATCMACATGTAACCACCCTGCTGTAAGACGTTTMAAAACCATGAGAACGGTTATGCGCAGGCGTTATAAAAGAGTCATTCTTTAAAAATAACCTTTGACAAAAGCGAATTATTCAACTTTATTAATGGTTTGATCAGACAATTTATATACTATTAGTAGATACGATTCCGTTTTTGAATTGGTTTTAATTGTCAATGATGCATGTACAGCAGCCGCAGATTTCTCCAAGTCTTCTAGAGTTATCCTTCCTCGATCAACAAGCGTCTGGGCTGCAAATGGAAAAGAACGAAACATCATCTTCAGATATGGCGGTGATGAAGTTGATACTTGGACGATCAAAATCATAGGTAGTGATAAACGTGTCGTGAAGGTATATGAGAGAGAGGTTCTTATTTCTACAGGGATAGACAGAGTGTCGCTATTGTCCTTATCATATGTTTCATCATCGTCACTGCTGGAATCATCGTCATCATTGAAGTCATCTTCAGTGTCATCAACATCGGAATCATCAATAGTTTGGACTCCTTCGGCATCAACACCGTCCTTGTCTTCAGAAGCATCATCGGAAACCCCACTTCCATCCTTAAAATCGAAAGTGGCATCATCATTATCATCATTATCATCATTATCACCATCATCATTATCGCCTCCATCGTTGTCGTCGACATTGACGCACTCATCTTCATCATCATCAACTTCATGGTCTGCACCGTCGCCATTACCATCGTCATCTTCATCATCAGAAACATCACAGCTTTTATCGCTGGTATCATCAACATCAATATCATCGTCCCAATTCAAACCAATATTGCCCTCATCATTATCACCAACAGCATCATCGATAGCTACAACTTCTTTAACTAATGATCCAGTGGTAACCTACACCTWTGAGAAATTAATCACCGTAGATCCAAACATTCAAACTGGAAAATACCATGTAGAAATTTGCGGCAATTTACAGCAGATAAAATCCAACGAGAAAGAKGTCTGTTTTAAGAGCRAAGACTTCTTTATTGAAGGAGTGCCTAAGAGAAAGCCAGGATKGAGAGAAAAACACGAAATTAGATTCTTTGATAGACAAAATGCTTTGGAGAATCGCTTGAGTGGTGAAAATCTGGAAAAGCTTTGGCCAGTCAATGGCACCAAGTGCACTGTGCATCGAATCCATCAACCAACAAAGGAAAGGTTCACAGAMGAATGCATGAAACCGGGTAAGATATAGATTTTTTTATTAATGTTTTGAGCAAATTGAACTTTTTATAATTGTGCATGCCTTGAAAAGCATTTTTAGGCTCTTGAGTTTCTTTTCTTGATCAGCAAGACATTCGACATTTTCCATTCGAAATTTTCTGTTTGTTTGTTTGTTGTTTTGTTTCATTCATGGGATAAAGCGCCCAGGCCATCCCTTCCTCAAGATCACGCGAAGAGTGTTTTTTGTTAATAGACCCATGATATGCTGAGTTGTTATTTTTGTTGCAGTCTTTCTTGTTGCACAGTTGGCTCCATCGCCGAAACTAAAGCCCAGATCTTTCAATCGGCTTAGYGACCACCAAGTTTTCYTTTCTTYCCCATCACTCAACACCTCTCTTAAGCGGCTTGACAACATTTTTTTAGTTCGTTTGTTTGTTTGAAATGACCTTTCAGGTCGACCATGTATCATCACTGGAGTAATGGACAATTGGAAAGCAATGAAAACATGGCGTTTCGAGACCTTTCAAAACGATCCAAGGCTGAAAGAAGGGATTTATGTTGGACAACATCAAGAAATGATTCCACTGTCAATCTACTACAACTACGTTAAGAATCAATCACAAAAGGACGAGAAGAAATGGATGGTTTTCATGCCTGACGTGTTTGAACTTTACCCAGATTTGCTAGAGGTATGACAACGCCTAACAATCCTTATGACTAAAATAGCATATCTTATAGCGATTATAGCATTTAGTAGCAATTAGTTTGAAGACGTACTCCGAACCAATATCGAAAACATCCGTAATTGTAGACAAGATATAGAATTCTGAATGCAACATTGAAGACTATAAATGAAGTAAGGATCATATAGCTGATTCTTAAGAGCAAGATTGTTGACTCTGATATATTAAGCCAAGGAATATCCATGAGACTATTCCTGTTACTTTCCTCTTTTCAACTTTATACTTACAATACTTCTACAGTACGTACTTATTCTTTATCTATTTCTACTATACTCTTTTTCATTTCTACAGAAACGTAAATTTTAACTTTATTACTAAAGGCTAACTAGAAAGGCTTACCAGTTTACTTAGCCTTTAGGCACAACATTTAGAAAACCTTACATATTCCTATTTATTCAACTTCATTTTCTATTCACTTAACTTGTAACTTAATGAGTAATGTGCATTAAAAATTTTGTTTTGTTTGTTGTTTGTCTCGAAATCACCTGGATCCATTCTGGTAATATTTTTGATTTTGTAATTAATWTGCTTTTGCTTAGGACTACACAGTGCCAGACTTTTTCTCGTCCGAGGAWGACTTCATGCAGGTCTTAGACGATGACTTGCGCCTTGACTGGCGTTGGATTATAATGGCACCMAAATACAGTGGKTCAGGATGGCACGTTGATCCTGCAAATACTACGGGCTGGTTGGCTCTTATTGCAGGGGCCAAGTTGTGGGGACTTTACCCACCCAATGAGTACCAAATTCCAGGTAAAGAAAAGGAATGGAAGTTATGTATTATAAATCTATTTTGTCACTATACTTATAATAGCATAGCACCATTGTTGGGCATTAGAGGTTTGCAGGATTATCAAACTAATATTTTGTGGCTAATTAAATTGTAAAAAAGAATGATTTGATGCTCCACCCAAGAAAATAGAATCGTATTACAAAATGATGACAAAACGCCTTCCAACACCACCCAACAAGGTATAGTCTCGCATTTTTGATGCTCCACTGCGTTCAACAGCATCAAAGACCATTCAAACTCCATTGAAAATGCTTGATAGTCCATTTGACATTATCCAACGATTTTAAACAAGTTGGCCAGAAAGTAAAATGTTTGGTGGCCGAACAATTTTTGATGCCATTCTGTGATCTCCAAGAATTTCCTTATCGTTGATCACATGAACATCGAAATTGATTGACAGGTGTCAAGAATAACTTTTATCAAAAGCGAGACTACAATATGGATGATGCGTTCAACTGGTGGACTTACACAAGACCATATTTGGTAAGCTTTTATTTTTTGTTCATAGTTTGTTTTTCTCCTTGTTGACTCAATACTTTTCAAATGAATCTGTAATCTGTTTTTATCATTATCATCATTATCAGACTCAATACTTTTCAAATGAATCTGTAATCTGTTTTTTGAATAGTTGTCCAAACGGCCGTTGGAATGCGTTCAGAAGGAAGGAGAAATAGTATTTATTCCAAATGGGTGGTGGCACTCTGTAGTTAACCTTGATCACACTGTTGGTGTCACACAAAACTTTTGCAATCAATACAGGTAATTGGTAATATATTATGAACTGCTTTTGAAAATTTCAACGTAATCGGGAAGAAAGACGACCCAAAAGGAACGGGCACGCCAAATGTTTTTGGTTATTGAAGACCATAATGCGTTGTTGGAAGAGGGAATTATTGATTCTTTAAACAGTTCTTTGTGGCCTTTAAAACCTCTGGACAGCATGTTTGATCCATCTGTAACATTAGCCTGAACAACATCGACCGCCACGTTTGGCCACCTCGTTCGATAGTGATTGACGTTGTTCAATAGATGTAGTTTAAAAGTATTTTGCCATCTTATAAGGCATTAGATGCAGCATCAAAAGCGTTGGACGAATGTGAAGACATTTGGTTATCTTGTTGGATGTTGTTGGAAGTTGCAAGATGGAGCATCAAACATGTTGGATGAGGTTTAAAGGCGTTGTTCACCAAACACCAAGAATAAGTTTGATATCTCCAACAATGTTTTTAGGTCTTCAGACCCTATTGGATGGTGGTAGTCACCATCGTCCTCGGAAACACAAGTGATTTGAGTGGAGGGACGAGTAGGGATCACTTCTCGTCCATTCTCATTCTTCGGCTTGCGCAGGTTCAAAAAACKTCTGTATCATATGATAAATCGTATTGTTTTAAAAAGCTTTTCATATTTTAGCTTCAAGGCCTGCCTAAAAGAGCTTAAAACGCAATSTGATAGTGATGGGCTATTCATTGGAAGAACATTCGAGCAACTTCGAGATMTCTACCTGGAAGATCACCCAGAATTCTTCGAAAAAGGAGACGAGGAATTCACTGCAGCTGATGAAGGGATTGGAAACACGGTGACTATGGAAAGAGAAAAACAAATGGAACAAGTAAGAAGGTTTTTGGCGGGAAAATGAGTTTTCCAAGAAAGACGAGCGACAGCATTCGTCACATTTCAACGACTTATACATAAGCGGAAAGGGGTGGAACCAGAGGGCTGTCCATTGGTTCACCCATATTGCATCAATACTGCATTTGTTATGATGTAATGAATAGCGTGTTATTTTATTCATTTTTTGAAAAGAATGGAATCTTACCCAATCTGTATCCATGTCATTTCTTTATTTCGGACACCTCTCCTCTAATTTCTGGAGCCGCCACTGACAAGTAGGTCTCATTAAGCGGCAGATGGAGAATGAGGTCGCCTTCGATGCAAATACACGGTTACAAGATCCATCAGGGAACCGTGTGAAGGAGACTATTTCATATAATTACATTAAATCCTGCATTTGTGAGATTCGGCATTTTATGCTAAATATTGAAGAATAGTCACAAGCTATATTGTGGGGTTTATTTGCAAACGACAAAAATACATTATATACGTGATTAGATATGGTTAGTGGATATAAACATAAAGGTGATAAAAAATCAGCCATTAATTAGGCCAAATACCATCTAAATAAACGACTACCAATAAACAAATATAATAACTATTAAAGCATCAGTCAATTGAAAGAACCGATTCCCGGGTATAGAGCAAGTGCGGGAGTCACATCATTTCATCATAATGCCCGCTGGTACTTCGTTGATCTTAATAAGAGATAGAAGCTAGAGGTCATGTTATTTCTGTAATACCGTTCATACTACTTAGTCATAATCTTTTCCTTCCTCCATAGATGGACACAGTTTATAAAAGAACACACTAGCTTTTTCTGAATTTCTATCGTTACCAATAAGAGAATTTCGCTTTAATTTCTTGAGGTTCGGGTTTCAATTGACTGATGCATTAGGTTTCTAGGAAGAATAAATTTTAAGGTCGAATAAGACGACACAACTTTTGCCTACAACCATCCCATGCAACCTGCATACGTCATCCTTACAGTATCGCTACAACAACTGTTGTGGAGTTGTTAAGCAATTATTTCAAATCCCAACGACAGTTCAAGCTATGTTGTAAGGAAAACGTACACAGGTTGCATTCAATGGTTGTAAGCAATGGTTGGGCTATTTTTGACGATTTTGCTGGGTTATCCATGCATTTTGACCAAAAATGGGCCATTTTTGACGATTTTGGACATGCTCCCTTTATAGTGCTGGTTGAGGAGCTAAATCTCATTAACGAATGGTTTCATRGGTACGGTAGTATTATTGGTTGAGATGACRGTAGCAGCCGGTGGTGSTGGCGGTGTAATTATGACTCCTCCAGGTGAGGGCTTCCTCCTGCAGCAGCAGCAATAGCAGCAAGTAATCATTCCAATAAAGACTACTACAATTCCAATTATAAGAAGAATCTTGAAGGGCAGGTCGAGGTTCTTCCAGAAGCGTACAAAACCTAACAGAGAAACAGAACTGTCATTTTACCTGACAACTTAGACTTGCTACTGCTCGTTCTTTTTGGGGGAGGGAATTTAAATGCGTTATCAGTCACGCTAAACGAGCAAAAACTTACAAGGCAGGGCTTACGACTTTTAGAAAGTCTAATGCCCACTTTACTCAAAAACATGTCAAGCACAAAAAAAATGTTCAACAGCTACACGTTTCAACCCCATATACATTTCTGGATTTATGCCTCTCTTCCTCAGCTCTGACGCTTTAACACGGGTGTTTATAGTGGAGAAGGTTAGTGCACTTAAGTGAAAAAAGAGGGGTACAAGGTCTCATGGCGCGGTGCGGGGCGCGGTGTATGCTCTCTATGGACGAACACTAATTTTACCACTGTTTTAACAATTTAAGTTTTTCATTTATAAATTTTTGGCATTTGCACATACCACATTCATAAGTGTTTATAGGCAACTCGCTGTTCACGAGCGTTGTACTCTGCCCCACTTGCTTGAAACTACCTCCCACTTCAATACCAAACAACATCTCAACCTGGATAGGGAACAATGACGATGGATATTTCTTTGATTAATTGGCAATATAGAAATGCATGAAATAACTGGTCAATAAGGCAACATTAATGACAATAGACGTCTGATGAACCTATTACGTCACTAGATTTTCATTGCATTGTGGGATTGTGGGTCCCACAATGCAATGCGTAAACGGTGGATAACGTAAAAGCTTCAGAGGTCTATTTGTTTCGCAAAAAGCAAGATACAATGATGATGATGACAATGATGATGATATGATAATGATCAATAAATATTTACAATATATTATCAGTGCATAAAAACAGTTGTTTTTCAATTTTTTTTTTCTGAAGAGTACAACCGTTTCCTTCCACATGATGGTGGATTGCAAAGCTTGGAATTAACATAGTAAACAAATTTACCGTGGAAAAAAMCGACTTGAACGTCATTTTAAAATATGATTTCCACGTGTGTTCAAACAAATTGTATCCACTTTGCAACTGTTTGTTTCCATCTCMTGTTCCTCAGCAAATTGTGTATAAAGTTTTTGTGTGCGTATTCGCGTTTCATCACAATAAATAAATAAATAAATGATTAACTTTAAGCTACCTTAAGGTTGAGGTTAGAGCCAGAATCTGGTAGAGAGACCTTAACATATAGTCCAGCTGATCCCACAACTGGRATSTTAATCGACAGTCCAGGGACACCAACACGTTGATCTGATGTAAATGTCTTTGACCAGTGAATAATACCAGAGTCAATGGACACATCAATAGTGACTGGRTCTTCACACTTGTTAATTTTGATTGTCCAGGACAGGACTTCACCGCCTTGGTCATCAATGGTACATGTGATCTTTGTGCAGTCATCACTGATCGAACAACCATCGTCAAGGGATTGTGACATGTCGGGGCAATTGCTGTTATAGCTTGCTGTTGTAAAACAATAGAGGAGTTTACACTAGTCGTTGCATCAGAGGTAATCAAGACAAGATTACTTTAGTAATCTTAGAAGAGGCGATGGGAAAAGAAATACGTTTTTCGCAACATTTCGTTTCTCAGTTAAACATCCAAAACCAAACTTTTTCTGTAGATTGACAATCGACTGTGTAATGGCTCTTTTGAGCATTCTTGCCGGGACACGATTTTTTTTTATAATCAACTTGAGCTATTTTTATCAAGTCTTGTCGCAAATCTACTGACTTCTTCATTCTAATAATCAGTGTTTTTATGTGCCTCAATTGGCTTAAGAACACTAAACTACACGGAATAGAGGTTTCTTAATCAACTATAACAGTTTTGTCTGGCAAATTTACCTCAGAATGGTAATATAGCTAAAAACGTATCTCTTTCCCCGGCCATCGCCTCATAGTAATCTTGTCCTGACCCATGATTCAACGACTAGTGTCAACTCCTCTATGTTAACACTGTTGAGGTTTTGAGATTTAAAAAAATTAATTCACTACTCTTCCTCCAGCGAAATTGTATACATTACATTATATGATCGATCAGGCGATAAGGAAATATAGTATTTCAATTGGTTGACCGGTCCGAACGCATTTCATTAACATATAAATACCAAGATTTGCGCCAATGAGGCAAGAAGAGAGTGTGTCATCGATGTAGTATTCCTCGTGAGGTCTTGATCGATAGATAGATAGTTTTATTAAAATACCTTTGCAGCCAAAGGGCTGATTTACGGCATAGTTACAAAATCAAAATCTAAGCTAAAGATGTGACATACAAATATACAATACAAATATAAATACAAAATATATATATGTAATATAATATAAAACTAAAATACTTAATATAAATATAAATATTTTACTATTTACTTAAGAGAAGAACATGGCTACTGAGTCAAAAAGGCAAAAACTATACAAGCCTGTGAAATAGATAGCATGCGACATAATAAAACTATTTTTAAAACGATTTGTCTTGAAGGTTAGAATCCGGAATTTGGAATTTGCCATAGTGGCCTTGAGCAACTGTTCAGAGAGGGCAGCAAGTTTTGTAATGTAGATTATGATTCTGATCTTTCACGATATCACTGAAAAAGCGTTCTGCTAATTGCTTCCTACCGACGACTGTGTATGAGACTAGGTTCGAAGCATTAAGAGCTTCAGCATAACTAAAGCCAGGGTAGATTATTCGTAAAGCGCGCCTTTGTATTCTCTCAAGCTCATCTGACAGGTAGGAAGTTGAATTATTGTGAAAAACTGGCGAGAAATATTTTGCTACAGGTCTTATGCAAGTTAAGTAAAAATATAATAACTCCTAAGTAATTTATCTGCTTTTGCGCTCATAAATTGCCTTAAAAATATTTAAAAGTGTTCTTGTTCTAATAACCGATGCAACTTATAAAGACTCGACATGATATCGATTCGGTTTGACGATTCTACTGTTAAGTCATGATCAGCTCTTTGCAGTGAAATTTTATAAAATCAATAATTGAGCGTGAGTTGAAGTTGATCTCAATGGTCCGTCAAATCGAGCATCAATTAAACTGAACAAACGCAGGACAAAAACTTAACCTTTTAATATTCAACCAGGGAATGTAATTTATAATTTAACATCACTCTTAACGACAATGAAAATACAAGAGAGCGCATAAACAGAGGCCCAGAAAGTTCCACAGAATAACCACTTCACAAATAATTACAAATTCATCGACGCACGAAACGAGAATTATAATAATTGTTGTGTCAATAGTAAGGCTGAGATATAGATTATACCTTCGAAAAGTATGGTTCTCAAAAAAACAAAAACTCAAAAGCGTGCTCAAACTWGACAGAAAACTTTCAAAACCTAATAAAATGATAATCAACTTTGTATCCAAGCTAGCTAAGCTAAGCAAGCGAGAGATCATGCCCCTGAGCGAAAAAAATGATGCAATTTAACACTTAAAAACTGAGATTCCGCAGTTGCTAAGCAAATTAAGAACAAGCTATTTCTCGACAYATTTTAGTTATTTACACTCCCTACTCCGCAAATTTAGCGATGAATGTTTCTTTTTTAGAATACTCACCAAAACCATTATGAACAAACAGAATACAGAGCAAAAAACAAACGAGAAGATACAGCGAAGACATTTTGTTTCTTGTTATAGTTAGCACGCCTTAACTTCTGAGAATCCGTGAATACTGTAAAATTCATGATTTCTGGGAAGTGGCACATTCTAGAACATCAATGACGTCACCATCGTAAATGAGCCCTTCTAAATATAGGGCCTTAAGAGCACTTCGTGGCACAGTGTCTTGCATATCTTATAGTACCTGGTTAAAGTATTAAAGTATTAAAGTTTGAATTTGTAGCTTTTACTGCGTAAATAATCAAGTGTAAGGCATTTACATTCAGAAATAGAAAAAAAAACATTCGTAATTTCGGAGAATAATCAGTAAAAAAGTCTCTAYGTTTATTGTGTATAGTCTTATATAGTGTTTTAATTTTTATAGTCTGTATTAGTATATTATTCTGTAAACAGTATACAGCTGTTTTCAATAATTCTGACCCCCTCTGCCATATTTCATATATATCAAACTGACCTTTAATATTATGGGATATCATGACTGATATATTTTTTGAGTTGTCCAGAATGAGTACTTTCTAAAAAAAATATCAGCAATGGTATCCCATAATTTCTAAGGCTATTTTGATATATATGAATATTAGTGTAGGGGGGTCAGAATTATTGCAAACAGCTGTAAACAAAGGAAAAGATTATATAGGATAACGCATCAATTTGAGCGTCTTCCTCTTTAATTGTAAATAATTTTTAATTAATGAATTACAGGGGGAAAATGTCTCTACAACGTGGTGGAAATTAGGTGCTCTGGTAGAAGGTCCCATGTGACCACATGCAGCTCTGAAGATAGTGAATTCCAAGTCCGAAATGCATTGTTGGTCATTCTCGCCTTGCTCGTTTTTCTTGTGCTCATGCTTATGYTTATTTTGAGCCCGTTCTCACTGGCGCATATGACTCTCGTGCTTCGTGMTTATGTCTATGCTTATGCGCTAGTGAAATCCACGCTTAAAGGGACACTGTCAATGGATGACATGCGCAGTAACAGCCTTGCCTGTAACGGACTTTGAAAGTATTACCTTCGAGGTAAATCAATGTTTTGACACAGTTTGGAATATTCTAGATCTGTTTACGTTTACGAGTACTTTTTTTGTCATGCGTCGCGCCAACTTGGAGTCGTAAACTTGAAAACACTAGCCTAATGTTTTCAAGTTTACTCTCGCATGTCATCCATTGACAGTGTCCCTTTAAGCCCCTATGTATATAAGACCCATCACCCATACTACGTTCCGGTCGTGGGATTTTATGTGCTTTTATACACCCTTTTAATAAGTCCCGAGGTTACGTTCTCCGCACTTGACGTCAAATTTATTCTTTTGAATTCCTTTTGTATTGCAAAAATTTCAAAAGAATAAATTGGCGTCAAGTGCGGAGAACACAATACCTCGGGACTTATTAAAAGGGTGTATAGAACGTGAAAATATTCACACGAATGGAGCAATTTCAGAAACGTAACGTTAAATACTTANCTTGTAAATCAGATACAACACTGTGATACAACACTAGTGTTGTATAAGATTTACAACACGGTCGTCACCTTGAGACAACCCAACACTAGCAAAGGTCTCAGTTTTAGTGTCGCATCATAGACCTTCACTAGGTTTTGAAGCAATCAAAGACGGATAACAGAACTGGCTTATGCAACAGATGGCTTGCTTTCCATGTGGGATGGATAATTATTCAAAATGTTCTGTGTTGCAGTAAATTGCGCATGCTTAATAGGGACTAAACTCAGCAGTTACCTTATTTGTCATTTTTCGTCATTTATCTCACTGTAATTCATGTTAATTTGTGTTGGAGTTTTATAAGTCGTTTACAACATTCGCGTCCGTGTTGTATGGGAATTACAATCTCTCGCCTGCGGCTCGAGATTGTAATTCCCATACAACACGGCCGCTCATGTTGTAAACTATACTTCTAGAACTCATTAATAATTCATGAGCTATTAGTCCAATGAGCACCAGACTATTGGGTCACATGATGGGCCTTTATATCCGATAAAGTACTGATGTTTTATTAATCAGTTCTATATCAGATATAAAGAACTGATCAAGTTCATCAGCGCTTTATCGCAACCCAATACTAGCAAAGGTCTCAGTTTTAATGTCGCATCATAGACCTTTGATAGGTTTTAAATCAGTTTGAATCAATGTGCCAACATGCACTAATAGTAGCTAGACTAGCCGTTTTTTCGTGTGGGATCAAACTTCTTTCAATTGTGGCAGAATGCACATGCTCATTAGAAGTTCAATATGCACTATCACTGTTTTCGCATTTTTTAGCGGAGCTCCCGCGCGGGCCGAAGGCCCGCGCGAGCGGAGCACCATAGCTAAGAAAAAATGGTATACCATCGAGTCGATTTTCCATGGACCGACACAGGGATCCCGCGCGTACGCACGTTTCCTTCCGTCCGTCCTTCCGTCCTGGATTCCGTGCACCACCACAGGAAACCCATACTCCACTCGAAAAGGAAACAAAGCGCCATATATTTGTTGAAAAATCGAAATTTTTTCCTTAAACATTTATATTACATATTGATAATATT